TTGTTAAAATAAGCCAGTCCCTTCCTTCCCTTTCACAGTTTCTTGTGATCCTGTTGCTTTGTCAGAAAGGCTGAAAAAGAATAATGTATTTATTTAAAAGCTGCTATTTACTTATTTGAAAAATGGGCAATAGGGTATATTGTGACACCCTATGAAACAAAAGATTAGGAAATAGTCAAAAGGTAAATGTTTTTTCTCCTCATGTTTGACTTAACAGAGGTCTCCAGAGTTTACAGATTTACTGGAAAGAGGACTCCATTTCCAGCTCCTGATCTACCTCCAAAGCACAGCCACATTTATTGGAAATATCTTCTGGCAAAAATATATAGCAGAATTTATTTAGGATGTGAAAAATAATCGCTTCTACTCCTTCTATTCTAAAAGGTCCTCTTCTCATCTTACCTGTCAAGAGCTGGAGTTAGACGGTAATCTTTGGTTGCTGACAGGATGGCTTTGATCAGATTATCTGGGGAGAAAGGAAGAAGACATTAGGAACAAGTTCTCACTTCTAATGGAAACTAACACCAAAGTGATGTAAAGCATCTGAAGTAGTTACTTGCAGGAACTGAAATAAGGTTCGTATTAGAAATAAACACTTTAATTTGCATATTCCTATTTTCTCTGGAAAATGACCTTCCCACACTGGCTGCCAATGCGTCAAATTCTGATGCAGTGTGAAAATGCCTTGCACAGACAGTGACAAGAAACAAACCCAGTACAGTTTAAGGCGGTGGTTTCACTCCAGCTTCCCTGAGATTGCAGTTTTGCAAACACTTCAGACATGAAAAAGCCCGTATTGCTGTCATTGCTTGCTTTCAGACAAGCTTTTATGCAGCTGAGCAGTGAACTGGATGCAGGAACAGAACCAGGCTAAAACTGATGCTTTTTCTTTTCTGGGGTTACCTTTTAGTTTAGGTTCAGTTCCTCAGTCTGGATTTCCCTGTGGCAGAATCCAATGAAACCATCACAGCTGCTTAAAGAAATGCCCATGGAACAACCTACACTGATAACCAGTGAATGCTGCAGCAACCAGATGGTTTAAGTTATGCAAGCGTAGACACATGCCCAAATTAAATGTATTAAATTGCAGAAGCACAATGATTACACATAAATAATTCTATTGTCGATGGAAATTTTTGAGTCTGCTTCCTTCTAGATTTTGTCCTTTGTCCCCAATTTTTCCACCTCGCTTCCTCATAAAGGTCCAAACCTCCTTTATCATGACCCATCCAGGGCCAAGAAGCAGCAATGCTTTGGCTATCTGGATTTACAAATGCACCAGTAACTTCAGAATGGCTGTACCGGCTCCAACAAAAGGTTGTCTGTCTCCAAATCCTGACTTTAACTGTGGCCGTAAGCAGATGCCTAAGAAAAGTATAAGAACAAAGCAAACCGACAAAACACTTCCCTGAAATTCTCTTCTACTATTTAATTATTTTCAATTTAATGTGTCAGGTATGGCTTCTATGTATCTGGCAACCATCAGTGATTCCTCTTCCATCAGCTCAGGATCCTCATAGATCCTTATGGACTTTCAATCACTTCCCTTTCCTGATTTTGAATATGGCTTCTCTGAGCTTCATTTATACTGGAAAACATAGTGAACAATTAGTACCCCTTTGCTGTCCTTGGGAGACTGAAAATATCTATCATATCTTTCCCTTAAATATATCGGTCAACTAGTTCAAAAGTTCTTAGGAAATAACCAGTCAAAAAGAATTAATAAATCTCAATTCTTTACAAAAGATTAAAAATGACACAGGAACATGAAGAAGACTGACATCAAGTGATTGTTTACAGTGAACTTACATAGTTTTCCTGATAGACACTACTTATTGCAGTCAGCACAGTTAGGGGAGTCCCTTTCAAATAAAGAGCTCTGTTCATATTTACTACATCCCACTGCAGAAACTGCAGGACCAGGGTGTGGGACAAACACACGAGCTCGAGGCAGCCCATGTGCCAAACAGCTTTGAACCTGATAACAAACGGGAGAGACACACAAGGCAGACAAACAAAGGTGATAAACAGAAAACTCTGATGGTTACTTTTAGATTTGGGGAAGTTTTTGACATGGCATTACAGACAGTCCCTGCCAACCATTACAAGCTGGCAAACGTGCTTACTTTCAGAATATCATATTTTGGAGTGGAGTAAGGAAGGAGGCAATTTGTAGGGTAAAAGTAACTTACTTTGTTACCAAATAGTGTTTTTGTTTAACTTTCCTTCATCTGAAGAATTTCTTTTGATGCATTGGCAGCAGGCTCCTCCAACAGGAATGCTATTTCCCTAAGTCTGCAGCAACAGCAGTAGGTTGTTGTGACCTCTAATGGCACCGTGCCACACTCCTCTCCTTGGCCTGTCTCATACGTTGACTTTTACTGGACAGTATACGCTACTGTGGTTGTTTTTCCACAGTCTCGGAAAAGAGATCAAAGGATTGCATGTCAAGGGCTGCAACCTCCCATCTACCAAACTTTTCTTATGTCAGGTTTGCTCTACCACCCGCAAGCTAACACCCTGCACTACTTGGAGGCTGCCCGTTAGACCATATTAAAAAGCACATTAAAGGAATACAGTTGACTAATGCACTTAAATAATTCATTTTTTTCTCATCTTGCCAGCTAATTAGTAATGCCTTCACAGCGAATGCTCACAGAATGAAATATGACTACTTTAGGACTAGATATGGCAGCATTTGGGAAGGGGATGCTCCCCGTTTCCATCATCCAGAGAGAAAACACAAACAAACGGCATCCAAGAGGTTTGGAAGTTGCACAAATCACAGCATTATCATTCAAAACTGCTGAATGAAGCTCAATAAAAGACAAAATACTTCACTGCCAAGTGTTGACTCATAGCAGAAATGAAGGTGGCACAGATGCCCTCAGTGCCAGTTCTTCTAGTCCATCATCCTCATTGAAAGCCAAGAGCAGGAGCCATGAGCACTAACAGGGAAAGCTAATGGCCTGGGCAGGGGAGAGGCACTAGATCTTTTTGATTGAGCTTGAACTCTACTACACTGCTGCTCTGGTGGACAACTTGCATTCAGCACCTTGCTTACTGGCAACATGATGGAAGGACAAGACCTCCTTCAGAAGAAGCTTCTGTATCTTCTTGGGGCAAGGTTTGAAGGATCAGCAGATGCTGCTGTGGCTGACCTGCAACATTCCACAAGACAGTGAGAATATCCACAACAGAGAGCCACTGGCAGAATCTTTAATCACAGCTGGGGCAAGGTGGAGAGTCACTTGCAATCAATACTGCAAAGACTACTATCACAGATAGCTACCTGCAGGACACAAAGCAGTATTCATCTCCAGACTGTGATTAAAGAAAATCAGGGACCAGGAAAGCAGGTGCATTATGTAAAGTTAATTGATGAAGCATGCTTCCTCCAGGGTAAGTAAGAAATTGAAAGGGTGATGAATATACTTTGCCTTATATAGCTATGTAGTGAGTGACAATAAGGAGTGCAAGTGCATGTGACAAATGCTACAAAAAAAGATTCCTTCCTGTTTCAAGTAACAGGATTTGTGCGTAGCCAATGACTGAACACTGATCTGTTAAGGACTGAAAGCAAGTTTTGCAACGGTAAAAGAAAGGGCAAGTCTTCAAGGCCCGAGCCACTGAGACGGCTCCAGTGTATGCATAACATGATTGGTGTCCCTGTGATCTAGGCAATAACTGACATGTTCTATCTTCATGCAGTAGCTTCTGGGCAGATAAAAATTGCTCCACAGAACACTGGCAGAAAGGCTACCAAACCAGTTTTGATGTTGTACACGTCGATGCTAAACTTCTAAACAACATTCCCTGATTTAGTAGTAAATCTAATCAGTGGCAGACCTGGTATGCTGCACCTCAGGCACCAAACCCCTGCACTGGGGTGGGACAGCAGTGGGAACAGCTGGTACCCAGGGCAAGCAGTTTCTCTGGGGTAGGCATATTCTTAAGGGAGAGAGATAGAGCTCATGGTTGGGCCCTACTTGCATCGAACACAGCAAAGAACAAAGAACAGAGCAACCCAAGAATAGTATTTCAGGGGAACACATTTTGTTCCTGATAACTGTCAGCTTTTCTCCATTCATCCGTCCATTTTATTTTCCTTTTGTTTTTTTTTTTTTTTAAAGGCACCAGCTGCATACGGCCCTTGCTTTAACATGAACCCACGCTTAAAAGCAAGATTGTTTTATTAGGGCAACAGCTATGCAAACAATTTGTTTTGATTCTTTTTTAACCCAGATGGTTTTCCAGGTTGTGAAGAAACCATGGCACGGATGCAGACACAATGCTAGCCCAGGCACAACTTCTCTCCTGCTTGGCAAGTGAGAAGAACAGACATAGTAGTGGGTGTGCTCTGCCTTGTACACCAGTGCACCAAGGGGGGGCCAGGAGGTGCCTGAGTGTACATGTTCTGAGTACTACAAAGGAAAAAATCCTTCCTGTTACAAGCAACAGGTATGTGTACACTCACCTATCGCTTCCAGGGTCCAGGCACACAGCCAGCTCAGGTGTAATAGAATTCATCAGCTCAGACACATCCCTATTCAAACAGGTCTTTCATTCTTTCAGGACCATTTCCATTCTGGAAAATTTTCCGCTACTTTTGTTCAATGCAGAACCCCAGCAAATCAGCCCAGCAGACATGTCTCAGCACCATATGCCCAGAAACACAAACCATGGAGAGCACAGTGCACAGGCCCGCAGGGCTCCACAGAAGGTCGGCTCAGACCAGGCAGAATTTATTATCTGCCATTCATTGCTGGCACAAAGGCAGCTCCCACAGACCTAGCGGCTCTACGGCATGTTTAACCCGGGCAAGAAGAGCTGGCAGCACTGTTCCATGGCTACCTTGCACTCTCCTTGGAATCCTTCAGACATACTGAGCAGGCAGGAACAGAACAGCTCGGGCAAAACCGTGCACTTCTTCCCTGTCACTCTCCTCCCCTAACCAGTAAGGATAAAAGGTGAATTAATCTTTAAAAAGTGTTTAATCATTGGCCTCTTCCCAGCTGCCAAACAGGCAGCCCAGCAGGTACTCATTGGCTGCAGGTATGTTTTGTGAAATACAAACTTCCCACTGGAAACTGCATTCAAACACCAAACTCGTCCATTCAGATCATCCGACAGCCATTCAGTGGCCACAGTTTTGGTACCTGCTTGAAGGCTGAGTAAACCCAACAGCAGTATCTCTTCCTGTGTACTGTTCCTCCTGTTCACCCTTCTGAGATTCAAGGCAGGCGTTACCAGTACTAAATCCTTGCCCTGGTCTGTAGTCAAACAATGATGTTTAGATGGCAATGGCAGTGCCATCATCCTTAGGGCTACAGACGTTGGCTGCCTGGGAGTGGAATGCATCTCAGGAGCAGCTCACTGCCAGCCCGTTACTTGTGTTAGCTTCAGTAGCTCACGTCGGAATGAGCAAACTGTAATGCGGTGGTTCTGCTTACCTGAAACCATCCA